CATTTTGTTAGGCGAATGTAACCATCCCTAGTAGGGGTGCTCGAGGCGCCGTTTTCCACCTGCCGAGTGTACATGTAACTATTTTCCGCATTATTATGTGAATTTGTTAATTTTAGTTATTTATTTAATCTTAATGTATATTTATTTGTGTCAGACCAAACATGGATGGGAAAGATAGGCAAAATAAGATGCAAATATTCTTCGGGGTCACCATCCATCACCACCCTGGCGCAATCCGGACCTCTCCCTAGGTGGCTCGAACAAATGAACGGGAAACACATTTGCCCTGCCACAGACGACCGGGTGCTCAGGAGTTGTAATCGAGACAGTGGCTCCAAAAAATAAGTGCCGGCCTGAGAGAGACGGGGAAAAAGCAGTTATTGAGTTTATTCAAAATGAGAAATAAAAAGAAAAGATTTAAGTTCAGACTTGAACTCAGAAAGTGAAGACAAATTTCGAACGTCGAGTGGGAGCTGGTTCCAGACTTTTCCAGCTGCAAGTTTAAAAGCCCCCGATACCTGATTATTGGTTCTGTATTCTGTGAGCAATGAGCGATCAGCCGAGCGGAGGCCTGATCGAGATGGCCTGTGGGGAGTCACAAGTCTGCTGATATATACCGGTGAAATTTCATGCAAAGCCTTGTCCCAGTATTTTCCCGTTGTATTTTTCCTCTTAGTTTTCCCACTGAATGTTTTCATCAGTTTATTTACTGTTTAAGGCCATTTTCTCTATGGTATGGTGGAGCAAATTATTTGTTTATGCTTTTGTTTTGTTTTGTAAGGTTACACCATAAATGTGTGCTGATGATAAAAAGCCCTATCCAATCAATTAACTGATTGACTCTTGATGCATTTGAAATACTAATGAAGCCTAAAGACTCATTGTAGAAACGTGATTTTAAAAAGTTTGCTTCCGTGTTCACACAAAAAAAAAACAGGAAATCTCTTTTTAACATTGAGTACTCTTTTGGACTATAAATAGCACACCTATTTCCTGGTCGGTCTATATATCCTACTTAGGCCTATGTCTTGCTGCATCAGCTAATAATAATCTGGCAAGGAGTGGAAATATTATTTCCACCATTAAAAATGTCTGGTAGGGGCCATTCTTGTAATATGCCAAACATTTTCCAATAGGTTTTATTGGGTTAACTCACAAGCTGATCTGGTCAGTTTTTGGGACGGGGTACATGGGGGTGTCTGGGCGGGTACACCCCACTATTAAAAATGTCTGGCGGTGGCCATCCCTGATACCTGGTACTATGCCGAACATTTTCCAGTAGGTTTGGTCGGGTTAATTCAGAAGCTGATTTAGCTTAATTTTGGGGTACCCGTTTCAGAGCCATATATATAAAGAGTTGCGACATTCCGCTCCTTGGTTTACGAAAGTCACGTGGTACACACCGTCCATTTTTTTTCATAATCTTCCCGATGAACACATGCAAAGTATACGTGTTACGTACATTGCATATTAATTTCACACATTAATTTGGTTTACAACTATATTTTATAATTAACATCACTTAATATGGACAGTGTATAAGAATTCATATATAATCGAATATTTGCGCGCGTGCGTGCTCGCGTAAATGATTGAAATTAAAAGAAATTTTTGGCAATTATCGTTAATTCGTCACATTTTAACCAATGAAGACCCGACTTATTTTATTAAATGGTATATATATATATATATATATTTCTTCCTTAATTATATAAATTTAAATCATTTATCAGTTGCATTATTACACTGTTAAAAATATTATTTTCTCATTCGCCTCGATGCGTTCGGAAAAATATTTAAGCTAAATAAGAAAAAATTTAATTTTTTCCCGACCTTTTCTGACGATCTTTAAAGGTTGTTCGCTAAACAATATTAGAAAATGGTTCTTAATTTCAAATCTTTGTACAGCCTGTATAAATACGAATGACAATGAAAATAAAGGTGATGTTTAATAATCTTAAAAATGATTTGCTGTTTCTATTACATACTATTACATAATTATTATAACTTTATTTTGGAAACGACGCTTTTAAAACAGCGGACACGCTCTCGCAGTGTGTTTATAAAAGTAACATACTGTACAGCCATAATACAATATTAAAATAGACGCGAGACTTTTAATACAATAAAATGTATGTTACATACGGTAATTACACAAGTTGAATATATCACAGATCCTGTATATCATTTAACACGTAGAATTTATAACATTTACAGCAAAGCACAGTTTATATATTGCGGCCAACTGATCTATACTATTTTAATATTTATAAATAATAATAATCAAATTAATAACATGAGATTTGTATAGGGCTCGCTCATATTCAAATTTAAAGAGCAACAATCTATATACCCTAGACAGATTTAAATTGCATTTTGATATACGTACCCTATTTAATTATTTTTTGCTGGTCGTCACATATCATTTATTTGCAAAAATAATAGGAGCTACTTAAGGATTGCCTAATTAAAGAATGCTTGCCATCGAGGGGCTCTCTCGGTCTATCGGCGAGGATTAAAGAACTGCTTAAAAATACTAAATTATTACAGTATTATTTTATACAGTAATATGAAATTGGATATAAAGTACCGGTAGTGAAATCATAAAAAAAAAATCTATAAATAGTTACATGAAATTCGACTGCTAAAAAGATTAAATGAAATTATACTATACAGAAGGCCGCTAACTGTATTATACAATATTATACACAGGAACGCACATCACGTTAGACACAGAACGCGCATCGCGTATGACACAAAAAGGCTTCTAAATTCTCAATGTCGCAACTCTTTCTATCTATGGCTCTGACATAGAGCTATTAAACAACTAGAGTGCTGACAAGATGGCGGAGCAATGCAGAGTTATGTATGTGTACCATCCAATATGGCCGCCGTAGTAAAGCGCCACCTTCAGGCTTAGTATACATATTATTACCATAAATAAGCCCTCTGACTGACTATTATTTCATTAATGATAATAAGTAATGGTAATACAAATTATTAAACTATCGTAGCCAAAACGAGGCCAAGTGGAGCATCCTAAATAAAGTACCAAGGAATGAAAATTAAAATCGTGTACATTACACCCATACACCGCAACGCTCGAGTTTCAAACATACGGGTAACTAGATGTACTGAACTTTCTGTGTAAATTGAGGGTGCAATTGCAAACGACGGCGCTTAGGCGAAATTTGATTGGCTGAATCTATGGCAGCCATCTTGGATGTTACACACACACAGCTCTGCGTATTTCGAACATCGAATACAATGAAGTTAGCGCTCTAGTATTCTTATTATATCTCTATGGGCTTTGACCCGTTTTTGTGCCTACTGCCCCCAACGGGGGTACCCATGCTGCGTTATAGAGACGCAGCACGGGTTCGCCAGGAACGCCTTTTACCGTTATTTGAAGGACGCCCTGTAGAACATGGCAGAACCCTTCGTGATCAACGACATAACGTGGTAACGCCAAGAGTTACTCACTTTTAAAGTGTTTTTAGTGTAATATAGTAGTAGGCCTATACAGAATAGTGTTATGAAAGAAATATACATGAAAAATCCAGATACACTACATTAATACACATACAGTATCTGCATATTGAAGAACATAAGATAAAATTTAAAAAACAAAAACTCCTGTATAAGGCAGTAGACACACGTTCCCGCTGGGAGCGTATTTTTTTTGTGTCTGGCAGCCACCCCACCATTGGAAATGTCTGGAATTGACCATTCATGATATCTTGAACTACAGTATGCCGAATATGGTTTCATTGGGTTAATTCACAAGTTGATCTAGCTAAATTTTGGTACCCTTTTTTATGCCCCTCTTGACCACACCCACCACAATGGGATCGGCAGATGCCCATTTTCCTACATAGACCATTACTATACACACAAACATTGGTTGACTTTCCAGCTATGCTGACACCACTGAGCTCCTGCTCTATATATTTATACCTACCATGTTAAATACCTGTGTGTCATGGCCTGCTAACCATGACTTGCTAGGCTAAGGCCAAATTTATTTTCAAAAATATTAAACCAAGGCATGATATTTTGTCCATGGGTAAAAGTATCTATTAAATAGACACCTCCTTCAGAAATTACATTGCATGTCGTATCCCATTAAAACATTTCCCCTAGGGTAAATCCACATACATGTTCGAAGTTAACATGTACACCACCACTTCATTGCTTTACATTCATATTTGATTCGTATGTACACTATGTTTATTTTCAGCCTTTCGATATTAAACATCATTAATTGACCTGTCTCTTTCTTTACAGTGATGACATCACACTTCTAACAAACTCGGATGATGTACTCCTAGTCTGAATAAAGGCATAAATTTTCCAGGAGATCCATGCTGAGGGACTACATGACAAATCCAGATGCACAGAATAAATACACACATCTGCATATTGAAGAACATAAAATTAAACTAAAAAACAAAAACTCCTGTATATTAGGGTAGACACACGCTCCCGCTGGGAGCCTATTTTTGAGTTATGCGCACAGAAGGACACACAAACAGACACACACACATAGACCCATCCACCCACCCACACACGGACGCGCACTATTGCAATACCCTTCACCTCTCCTTAGGATAGGCGAGGGGTAATCATTTCCCCTTCGGAAAGGCAAGGGTAACTGGACTAACTATACTTAATTAAGAAAATACGAGAAGATTTCTCTTCGTTCTTGCATTCTGCCAAGTTTGAAACCAATCAGACATACCAAACTTTAGTTATCTCGGTAACGAGCCTAAAAATACCTGTATAGTGAAATATTAATTATGCAAATTAGTAATTAGCATATTCACACACGTACCAAAATTAATAGGCTCAGTCTTCTTATTACCATCTTCCATTGTGCCAAGTTTGAAACCGATCAGACTTTCCAAACTTTTGTTACCGGTGTAACTAGCCTAAAGAGAGGCTAATACGTGAACTACCAGCTTTCTTATAAACAAAACATTCGTGGATCAAACTCTTACCTTGGTTTCAATATTAGTTACTAAACGCGGTTTAACGACACAGAAACAAACCAGAAACACATCTGTTTGATTATAACCCATAGGCCTTAACCTATCATAGTCCTCCGTACCTGTTTTGGAATAAAATAAATAAAGGTTAAATTCGGTCAAAAGTAATAATCATTAAAAAAAAAATTGGTATTGTTTATTGGGGTTCGAACCACGAATCAAACTGTACTTAATGCATTCTGATCGTGTTGCTCTCTAATGTATTTCTCTGACGACCACCAATCTACAATAATACCCATATTGCCCAAATCCCAAATGGCGTTACAAATGCTGGTTTGTACTTACAGTACAGTACCGTATTCAGGTTTGAATTACCAAGGGGGGGGGGGTTCTTCTTAAGAATTTGGCCCCGGAAACTTTTTTATTCTTGTATAGGTGTAATTTTTCCCTACCTTACGTTGAAATGTACTGAATACTCAGTACGTTTAAAAACAATTGCGAAAAAAATCGGAAGTCGGGTGGAACTCGAACCCACGATCTCCAGATCACTAGCCTGGCATCATACCTTTAGACCATCGAACTTGCGCCTGATGGCCAGGTTTGAATTCGAGTCCAAGTAAGTCGTTGGAACAAAAAATTATTATGACAACAAGGCATGTAGACTGTAGGTAGAACACTTCATTTATTTTCGAAAGAAATTTTCGGCCAGTCCTCTGGCCTTCATCAGCTTTACTGAATGTACAAGTTGGCTGTTACAAGTTCTATACTGTACAATATAAGCAATACAATAGAGGTTTAGACGGATTATAGGCCAATTATCTAATAGTTTATGCGGTAATATATAAAGAGAAATCCGACAGAGAACAAAGCAGTCAAGTATAGAGATAGTGGTGTTATAGATTAAACAATTCTTAATTAAGCGTACATAGTAAAATAATATACGACAGTATTTCTAGCCGTATTGCCAGATTTATCTGGCCGAACGCCCTCTTCTTGAGGCGTAGCATTGTGTAATACAATGTTCCCGACGGTTATTTGTACGACCTGTTCAACCATGAATCCTTCGTGGTCTAGTGATTATGACGCTCGCCTTGTCAGCGAGAAGTCGCAGGTTCGAATCCTGTCGGAGGCATTTTATTACACAATGACTTTTATAGGACTTCATTCGTTGAAAAGCTACAGGTAGCCAACGATGTTCCATCAAGATAGCCGTTAACAGTTAAAACCTTTCTGTACGGTATTTACCTTTCTTTTATTATATATACTCATACTTATATTGATACTCATGCGCTGACGAAGGTAACAGGAGTTGCCGAAAATTTCGCAAATAAAATATTTCTATGTCTCTTACAAGTCAAAGTATCGTAGCAGTTTATTTTGTCTGCGTCTACCTACTGATTTATGAATATATATATATATATATTCTTTAATATAAGTCAATCGTATGAGAGAAGTATCTGGGAGTGAGACATGCGTCTTTATCGTATATGACTCTGTGGTCTAGTAATATGACCTACTGATATGACACTGATATTGTAAGAGGCTACACGTTCGAGAAACTTTTTCAGAGAACTGAAAGAGGAACTTTCATTGGTAGCCATCATGAAATCCAATATGGTGGCCTCCTGACATAATTTGCTGATGATTGCATGATACTCTCTGATATTAAAAACATGGTTAAAGGTGTGATTGACTGTGTTACGTTACTGTAGATATGAAAATAATGACAAAAATAACAATATTTTGGCAGCCATCTTAAAATCAAACGCGGCGGCCATCTAACATAATTTCTGATGATTGCATAATACTCCCTGATATTGAAAACATAGGTAAAGACCATTGAATGACAGTGCTAGGTGCTGTATATATGAAGATTATTGATAAAAATCCAATATTTTGGTGGCCATTTTGAATTTCAAAATGGCGGCCACTAAGCGGCGTTATTGTTGGGGTCTATTTTTTTTAATGATCCTTAGTTGTCATAGTATCCCTGTGAGAAGTTTCATGCTTTCTTCCAAAAGTGCACGATTATTCTCCTTAGCCGCTCTACTATACACATATATTGCATTTGTAATATAGTGTGAGAAAATGTGGTCCAACGAAAATTTACTGTGATTTTTACTGAGGTAGAGCTGTCTCTTATACCCATCTAGATGTGTATAAGAGACAGGTAGTAGGCCTATACAGAATAGTGTTATGAAAGAAATATACATGAAACTTAAAAGTAACTACATTATAAACCTACCTCCTGCTTCATAAACTTTTATATTGTATTCTTCACCACTATTCATCACAGTTAGCTCATGGTTCTCATAAACCTACAGTACAATAAGACAACTTACGTGTGAAAGCAGACGGTTTAATCATTTATAAAAACAATGCTTAAAAATGTTGGTTTTTTTTTGTTTTTAATAAATTCATATTTAACAATAATTAACAGTTTAACAGTTTGGAAGTACTAAAGTACGCTTTCGTAAATAATCAATTAATGAATTATGGAATAAATATAATATTAATAAGTATAAATGTTTTGTTTCTATTGTCTTAAATTTGAAATATATTTAAACTCAATGTAGTTGTCATCATAAAATAACTGTAAAAAATAGACTTCGAAGCTTACACAAACGATAGTATCTTCAGGGCTAATATATTTGAATTCATTGACCAAACAATCATCATCATATTATACTAAATTGAGTAAGGCCTTAATGATTGTGCCGATTTGCCGTGCACAGCTCTGGAAGAAATATCGTAGCATCATTCTTTTAAATGTCTCATTATTATTACTGTCGTATTTTAAGCTCCCATGTATGTCTTTTGAAATATAATTTAAAAAAAAAACGATTTTACAATAAAACGAATCTACAAAATATTGGACGAGGACTTGTCACGCTACAAAAGCAACAATATGTGAGAATTCATTATTCAAATTACCAAATTACGTTCGCTTATTACGGCGAAAGGAGCAGCGGATTATTCATGTATATATTAGGTAAATGGAACAACTTCTGTGAGTACAGCTAATACAAAAGCGTGTATTTCAACTAAATATAATGTAATAAAATATATTATAAACTGACTATGTTAATCATTATAAATGGATATGTGACGAATAAGGAATGTCTACAGGTTACATCAATCACAACATTTTGGCATGTATTGTATAATCTACAGGTATTTGTTAATATTCCTTACCAGTAGGCACGGTAGTATTATTTAAACAATTGTTATTGGCTCATGTTCTTAATTTAAAAAGTAGGCCTAATTTAAATTTGATTTGCAAAGGTCTTTCTAAAAGTACAGTTAAAGGCGATGCAGTATTCAATATTATGCTTTAGAATATTCTGTTAGTGCTAATCAAGGGCGTCGATCCGTGGTTGTAAGTGGGTTGGGGTGGGGAACGAAATGCAAAATAAGAAAGCCTTGGGCCGTGGCCCAAGCTTTGTTTGGGGCGAGGGGGCGGCCAAGGTCCGGGTCCAGGGGGCGAAGCCTCAGGAAGCTCTGGCGCCTATAGTCTTTTTCATAAGTCGTATCTAATTTAATTTAAGGAATACAATTAACATATATTTCAACACTCATTTTAAAAATACAGTGGCGGACCCAGGAATTTGAAATAGAAGGGGCCTAAGGAGGGACTTTTAAAGCTGGAGAGTGTAGACCACCTGAGTCCCAGCCATGGTAAGAAATTTTATGATTATGGCACCTCTAGTTGGCCGAATATGGCACTCTCAGACTAAATTTTGATATAATTTCTTTTTTTTCTCTACTCTTAAATATTGAAAAAAATATGAGGGTGGGCCAACTGGGCCCCTTGAATCTGCCACTGAAATACTCATTATAAAACGTTTTTCAAATTATCCTGGTAATCATAATTATCCCTGCTTACATAGCCTATTTCGTGCAAAATAATATTCATAAAAATAATGATATATCCCCGGATGGGGCTGAGGTAAGAAAATGAATGATTACGACACCTCTAGATGGCCGGAAATGGCACTCTCAGACCTAAGTTCTAATTCTAATTTTCATTTTTATCTCATTAAAAAAAAATAATTTTGAAAAATTTAGGCGTGGGGGGGGGGGTCGCAACTGATTATTATGACGTCATTGCGAGATTGCGTCAACATAACATTGGAGTTTATAAACTTGTGGTAACACTAAATAAATCGAAAGATAGACCTGTCCGTGTCAAAGGTTGTATAATTATTGTTTAATAACGGCTATATAAAAATCAATTGACTAACTATGATTTTTTTGAAATTAGGAAAAACAGGAATCTACGTATACAGATAATATTAAACACTAGTATATACGGGTCATAATAATATACAAAAGGAATAAATCGTTTATAGTAGAAAGTGTGCACTTGTTGAGTTTCTAAATATATTGGCCTAGTAGGTTTACACGCTTCCAATTTTAACAACGGTGTTTACTGGGAACCGAAAGGTCCACTGATTAATCTCAGATAAGAAAATATAATACATACTCCAAGTATTGAAATACACGCCATCGTGTCGGAATTCAATATTTCGACATTAATTATGTCATCCAGGCCCGTAGCCAGGTTCTTCCAAGGGGGGTTTTCTGGGCGTGAGGTCCACAGTCGAAGCCCCAGTGGGGTCGGCGAAACCCCCAAAGCAAGAGGATTTTTGTGCTTTATGGGTCTAAATAATGCTATAAAAGCAGATATATTTGAAAATGTCTGTGTCTGGGTGGATCTGCAGTACATTTGTTAGGTTGTAGGACTTATTTGGGAAATTTAAAGAGTTTCGCCAGAAAAGAGGGGCTTGCTAGAAAAGGGGGTTCTCCCGAACCACCCCACCGGGTACGGGCCTGTCATCATCGTGTTTACTGAGATGGTTACAAAATGTACAAATAATTGTGTTTTTACTCAGTTTTGGTCCGGAAATACGCACTCACTGAAGAAGAGCACAAATGAACAGAAATATATCATGACAGTCATGCGTAATTGTTATTTCCACTCGCTTTGAAAGGACTAAAGTTTTAATTATAAAAGATTGGTGAAAAGTCCTTGCCCCTCCCCCCCCCCCGCATCCAACTTGGCCGACTGCGCATCACAGAATGATTATTTTTGGGGCGGATCCATAGGATGCGATGGTAAATGACGTCCGTCCAAGTGCTTTTTAGCTGGTAAAAAAGTGGAAATAGTCAGCAGGTTTTTTCTTCTGTAGGGGTGGAGGAAGGTGACAAGATAAACTTATTTCATTCATTCTTTCATTAAAACCGCAAATATCCCGGAACCGCCTGCAAATAATCTGGACCCGCTCCAATACATCACAGCCTCGCAAAAGGCCGCCGAAGAGTAAGGACAACATGTTTGTGCCGATTTCCCGTCCAGACGCGTGCCACAGCTCTGGATGAAATATATCGTAGCACCATTCTTTTACATGTCTTGCCATTATTGGCCTATTTGGAGTTCCTATGTATGCCCATTAAGATATAATTTTCCAATAGCACGAGTCTACAGAATATTGGACGAGCACTTGTCACGCTACAAATGTTACGGAAGCATATTGCTGCCAACTAAAAAAAAAGTAAAATTCAGATATTATCTCGTTATTACGAGATATTATCTCGTTATTACGAGATAATATCTCATAATTACGAGATAATATCTCGTAATAACGAGATACTATCTAAATTTATTTTTTTAGTTGGCAGCAATACGCTTCCGTAAAAGGTAACACATGTGAGAATTCATTATTCAGATTACGTTAGTACAGTACAGTAAAAGAAAGAGCAGAGTATAGGCATGGAGGTATTAAACCTCCATGGTATAGGTAAGTGGAACGTACCACTTCAGTGATCGCGGCTGATACAAAATGTGTATGTTCACTAAAAAATGGAATGAAAATATTATAAACTGACCATGTTAATCACTAAAATAAGTCAATACTACACAAAAATGGAATGTCAACATCCATCACAATTTAGCATGTATTGTGTAGTAAATGTTAAGTAAATAGTGAGCAGCTTTTTTTTCTTTAGGGGTGGAGGTCATTTATGAAAGCAAATTTAAGGCTAATATTATTGTTGACTTTAAGTCTCTCGATAGATGGGAGAGTGAAAAGACAGAAGACTGTTCTCAAATATCTGGACCAACTCTAGTACCTCACATCCTCGTGAGCTGTAAGAAAGCCATTATATTAGTTTAAAAAAAATACATTGTTTGTTTTTGCTTATGAAGAAAATAAATGTTCACATTAAATTCTTTGCTCACCAAATTCCATCATTAGTATTACAGCCTTGTTAGATTTTTCTTTTTCTTTTTTCTTAAAAAAAGATCGATCATCTGACGTGCAAATATATCAATTGCATCATATTCTAAGCTATAGAATTATTAATTGCAAAATGTCTACTTACTGTTGGTATATTAGTTGAAGGAAATTCATTTGTCTTGTAAGCGGCCATTATGCAAGATTTTCCTACATTTCCATCCCCTACAATACTACATTTTTTTGTCTGCATATTGTTATATTTAAAATTCTTTTGAATTTGAGCTCTGTCCTGTAAAAAAAATGTTTATAGTTTCCCAGTCATTCAATGAATAAATCGTCCGACCTTTATAATTGAATACAGTAAACATACTATAGAAAGAAATGGTGGTGGTGGTGGGGGTGATGAAGGTGGTGGTGTTGGTGGTATACTAGTAGTAGTAGTACTACTACTACTAGGGATTGTGGTGATGATGGTTTCAGTGATATTAGTAATATTGGTGCAGGTGGTTTATTTTATTTTATTTATTTATTTCAACAATCTTTAATGATGGTGGTCCATCCAGCCGAAGCTGATCATTAATGGTGGTGGTAGTAGTAGTAGTGCTAGTGCTTCTTGTTGTTGGTGGTGGTGGTAGTATTAGTGGTGGTGGTGGTGGTGGTGTTATTAGTAGTCGTTAGTAGTACTAGTGGTGGTGGTAGTAGCAGCAGTAGTGGTCGTTATGGTGGTAGTGGTGATGGTGGTAGTAGTTGTAGTATAATAGTAGTAGTAGTAGTAGTAGTACTAGCAGTAGTAGTAGTAGTGGCGGTGGTAGTAGTAGTGGTGGTGGTGGTAGTAGTAGTAGTGGTACTGGTGGTAATAGAGTAGTGGTCGTAGTAGTAGTGGTTATGGTGGTGGTGGTAGAAGTAATGATGTGGTTGTGGTGAGGTGAAAAAATATCTTAATTTTTTACATTTTAACCAGTAGTCCTAACCTACTCAGTATGTCGTGATTCGGAAAAACGCAATATATTCAATTTTGGCTTAGGGGCACCCTGTGCATGTAATCTATCATGGAACGTGATCATACCCCAAACAAGTTTTCGAAATATGAAATTATTATGAGAGTTACGCATTATATCCGGCCGTCCAACCAGTAAGCATTGAAATGTTAGCAATCAACCAATCACAGAAGACATTTATGCATATTTAATTACTTTCCTAGCTGGTAGCGGTACAATAAAAATGCATTTTTCCTGAAGTTACAAATTAAAAGTTGTGGTCATAAGATTAATTTTAGAACCACATTATTAACAAGATTATTAGGTTAATCCTTTCACGTCGGCGCGTGCACTGAAAACGTATATTTTATTTATAAAAAAAATGGATTTAACATGTGTATAATGATTTTGATAAACAATCGTAATTCTCCGTACAATCTATAAAACATTTAAAGAATGAATTTCCTTATGTTGTGGTCATATTAGACTGTAATATTTTTAAAGAAGGCCATTCAAGAAACAACATAAAATAAAATTTTCACGTCAGAGTATGCATAAAACGTATAATTTCCTGAAATTTGGCTTATGGTTTAGGCCTGAGGAAATATGAATGTATATGGGTCTGACATGTAGGCGACAAAGTGTTCTTCCTTATGTTGTAGTCATATTAGAATATAATATCATTAAAGACCATTCAGCCAACAAAGACCAACATAAAAATATATATCAAACTTTTAGGTAACACCTTCCGCTTCCGAGCATGCATATAACGTAATTTTTTAGATATATGATATTTTCATGACAGTCGAGAATGTACTGATTATATAAATTGTAGATAATTACTGTTGTCCGATTGTGTGCATTGAAAATGTGACGACGAACTCGGGATACGGGCCCCGGTTGACACTGATATCAAAAGGCCTGTTAATTAACCTTGCACATGAGCCTGTCGTCACCTGCTACGATGCCTCCTCCTACTTAGACAAAAAAAAAATTGTTGTGTTGCCCTTAAATGGAAAAAAATCGAGATTAAATTGAGATTTATTTTATTATAATAATAAATAATTGTTCATGCATATCACGGTAGTTTTGAGTTTAACGTAGCTGTAACTGGTTTAGCGCTTTAGAAAACGCAAATTGCGTTTAAATAATTTAAATCAACTGTCAACAAAAAATCTTTAAATGGTCCTCATAGCCACACCCCCGCTGGCGCCACCCCTCCGCTGGCGCCACCCCTGCAATGTTGATATACTGATATACTTGCATTATTATACTTATGTTAATATACTTACCTTAAAATTAATGATATGATGCTAGAGAAGAGTTGAAACTTATTAGACTTTGTCCTCTCAAGCTTATGTTGTAAGTTCGGCCGTGCAGCACCAGAGCCAAAATAATTGCATGATGATCCTCGTAAGGACGATACGAAACGTAAACCTTCCGGATTTACTATAAAAATGCGTCAACAGAGGGCATTCGCCTATTCATAATGCACATAACTACTTTAAAAATTTTGTTTAACTGTTAATTATTAGTTACCACGTTGGCTCCTACTACTTGTTGTTTCTGCCTATTTACAAATATACAAAACATCCCGTATAGTATTTTTTCTAATTATTTTAATATTATCTTCTTTTTTTTTCTCGTAAACAGACATACTGCCAAAAAGATGCTTACAGTGAAATGCCTGGTGTTTTCATTTTAATCCCACGACGAAAGTTGTGGAATACAAAAAATACGTCAGAATCTAACTACTGTATAGTAAAATTAACTAAAATATTGACTGACAAAAATTATTGCAATTATTATTTCGACCAGTTGCAACTAAAAGGGTTAAAATACCCCATAGGCTACACATGGAGTTCCACTGGAATAGTACAACTCCATGATTTATTAACCTCAACTTAATAGGAGAACGATATTCTATTTCATAACATCAAAAAGTACCGGTAAACATTAAACAGTACCGGTATAATGAAAAATATGTTAAGGCTGGGTGCCACAAAGGCTTTTTACATGAACACGAAGGGAATATGGGTGGTAGTGGGAACAAATGAAATATTCTCAGTTTGTCCTCAGGAGCGGTCTGAAATTTAAAAGAACACTCTTTGAGCTAAAATAAGCTAGATTCACAGATGCTCTATTAATATTCAGCGCTAGCCTACCGATAGTGGTCTTCTATGAAGGCATTTACTGCAAACGTAAAAATAATTTTAAAATCATTTTTTAAGTTACACATCGAGGAAAATAAGTTTTAATAATTTCTTGTTATAGGTTTATTTTGTTTTAAAATAAAGAATTGTGTATCTAATATTATCTTGCATGTCAAGGGAAAAGAAATTGCACGTGTTCGCCAAGTTTATTTAAGTCAAGTTTGTCAGAGTTCGGCCCTTTCTATTGTGTAGTTGCGTCCTGTCGTCAGCATCATCTTAGAAAAATAATTATTTGGTAAAAAAAAATTATTGCAATCATACTTCCAAGCGGTGGAAATGTTTTTATAATAGACAATACAAATTTTGAATGGTATAATAATTGATTGTATGTGCTTTGGTGTCACTGGGCTATTAGTTATTTATTGGGTCCGCGCCAGGCGTGGACACACTGAGTGTCACTGCTGGTCTTGTTCTTGTTCTTCATACCGAAACTTTAAAAGCGTCCAGCGCACCAGTTTTAAACGGACGTGCAGGAAATAGTGTACTTAAGGGGATTTCCAACAAACGTTCATCGACCTTTTTTAAAGTTAGACCCCAGGGTTCCCCCTTCACCTCCAAAACAGGTTGAGTCAAGTTTATCAGAGTTCGGCCCTTTCTATTGTGTAGTTGCGTCCTGTCGTCAGCATCATTTTAGAAAAATAATTATTTGGTAAAAAATAATTATTGCAATCATACTTTCAAGCGGTGGGAATGTTTTTATAATAGACAATACAAATTTTGAATGGTATAATAATTGATTGTATGTGCTTTGGAGTCACTGGGCTATTAGTGATTTATTGGGTCCGGCCAAGCGTGGACACACTGAGTGTCACTGCTGGTCTTGTTCTTGTTCTTCATACCGAAACTTTAAAAGCGTCCAGCGCACCAGTTTTAAACGGACGTGCAGGAAATTGTGTACTTGAGGGGATTTCCAACAAACGTTCATCAACCTTTTTTAAAGTTAGACCCCTTCACCTGTAAAACAAAACAGGGGTTTCAGCAAGAACTGTACAATACTGTCATTGCCAGTGTACAGGCACACGTCGCATGGATGGCGCGTTTGGTTAAGAATGTGTTCTAAAGAACTTAAGGTTGTAAGTTCGAATCGCGATTTTTTTTTTTCCAATTTTAAGATTTTTTTTTTCAATTTTAAGATCTTTTAATTGTGTGCATATGAACATTCTAAATAATATTTTTTTGTACAAATAAACATCATAATTATTTTAAAAATTTCTATCTTAGTATTACCTCTTTAAAAAACTTAATATAATAACTTGCACCTGTACCGTATTTAAGAATGGAGGAAATGGAGGACCGGTGAGCGGTCGCTCTTGTTTTATATTATTTTATTTTATTTAAAACATATTAAATATAAATTTTATGCAATTGAAAGTAAATTATTTTCTGCTGGTATATTTATAGACCTATCCAAAGCGTTTGATACTATCAACCACAATATTCTCACCTCTAACCTTTTCAATTATGGTATCCGTGGAACATGCTCTAAATTTATTTAAAGATTATGTAGCTAATCGTCAGCTACATAATAATTCTTCAAATTTTAAATTTTTGTCTTGTGGAGTCACCCAAGGTTCCCTTCTTGGTCCTCTTTTGTTTCTTTTTACATTAATGATCTACCCAACTCATCCAAAATATTTTACTTCTTTAATCATGAATTAAAATATGTTACTGAATACTTTAATGTTAATAAACTTTCGGTTAATGCAATCATGCTGTTCGGAAGCCGCCACAAATCTAGACTTGACGAGATAGGTATATATCTATATTTGAAACCACTTGATTCCACATGTTCAACACACAAAATTCTTAGGTATTGACCTCGACTACGAACTAAATTTCAAAAATCATATAAAAGAAGTTGAACTGAAAAGAGCAAAAACTATTGGTATTATCTATCGTCTTTTTTTCTTTCCTTCTCTCAAGTTATATACTTCACTCCATTTATTCATCCTTGTTCTTCCCTTTATTATTTACTGCAATAGGCCTATATCTGGGCAAACAATTACAAATCCAACCTTGACAACTTCACAAGCTCCAAAAAAATGCCGTCCGTATAATTTCAGATGCTCCATTCCTTGATCAC